TCATGCTTTCAACTTTAAAAGGATCATAATGCTGATTGTGTGAACTTAGGCAAATCACGAGAGGTAGAGCAGGAAGAGTTGCATCAGTGCTTAGTTCTCATGGCCCTTTCTTACAGGCCCAGGGAAATGCTGATCGCCACTTTGGGGCCAGGAAGCAATTTTTCTCTAGGCCCGTTTGGCCCCCAGTGATCCTGGAGGTTTTTTTAATCATATTCTGGGCGTGGAGCAGGGGTCACTGGGGGGTGTGGAGGGTATTGGTGAATTTCCTGCATTGTGCAGGGGGTTGGACTAGATGACCCTGGAGGTCCCTTCCCACTTTATGAGTCTATGATTCTATAATTCATCCAGGCTGGCTGTGGGCACGCCAGCACCTCTGTCAGGCAGAAGCGCCTGAGATCCTCCCCCTCCCCTTTTCCTTCGCCCGACTTGGAGGCAAAGGAAAGAGAGAGGGGGGAAAGAATGGATCCCAGGTGCTTCTGCCTGGCAGAGGGTCTGGTGCACACTTCCGGTGATGTCAGAGGGTGTGGCGTATGCTAATAAGTTATGCTAATGAGCTCCTGCAGCTCTTTTTCTACGAAATGACCCCTGACCATAGCCATTAATTCCAAAACAAAAGCTATGTGAAGCTGTAAGCATTAAGACTCTCTTTGAGGCTAACTCGTTACGGTCGATTCCGGTCTAAAATGGAAACGAGTTTCCACTCTTATCTTCCAGGGCAAAGTATAGAGCGCTCCCACCAAGGAGGTGGCAAGGGGATAGAGCGACGCCACTCAGTCGCCGAGGTAAGAAAAAATACTCGGTTTGCACACGCCCCCTAGTGTTTGGTTTTTTTAAATTCTCCCATTAGTCGTACTAGCAGGACGTGTCTGCCTCGAAGGAAATGGCTTTGGGACGGCTCGACCAACCTTCCTTGTTCTTCACGTAGGGTTTTTTTCTTTTCCTATTTTGTCCGCCCCGCCTCTCTTCAATACGACTCTGTTTTCTAAATCTTGGTTATTTAGAAACACAGGTGTTACTAGTGGCACTGGACTCAAACTTTGTTCAGATGTTACTAGTGGTATGAATTCTCCTGATATACTTTCGCCTCCTGTTAGTAAATTTTTCAGGATTGTATTTACACACACACACCTTTTCCTGTTGTAGAACTCGAGGTTGTAAGCATAAGATTCCTAGGAGGGCTGGCCACTATGTGCTTAGGTAGGGTTGCCAGCTCAGGGTTGGGAAATACCTGGAGATCCTGGGGGTGGAGCCTCAAGAAAGCGGGATTTGGGGAGGGGAGGGACTTCAGTGGGGTTTAATGCCATAGATTTTCTCCAGGTAAACTGATCTCTGTCGCCTGGAGGTCAGTTGTACTAGTGGGAGGTCCCCAGACAACACCTGGAGGTTGGCAACCCTAGGCTGCCAGCAGGGCTTGAGAAAAAACAACAGCAACAACCCCATGTCCCTTTAATGGGTGCTTATTGCATAAATTGCAAGTAGATAAATAGGTTCCGCTTCGGTGGGAAGGTAACAGCGTTCCGTGTGCCTTGGTGTTTAGTCATGCCGGCCACATGACCACGGAAACGTCTTCGGACAGCGCTGGCTCTTCGGCTTTGAAATGGAGATGAGCTCCGCAACCCTAGAGTCGGATTCGACTGGCTTTCGAGCAAGGGAACCTTTACCTTTACCTTTATTGCATAGAAAAGGGCAGCCGGAGCTTTTAACAGCATCTCATTAAGCTTTTATTAATGGGACAGGCCTTTTTTTTTGCCAGGCCTGTTGACAATCCTGCTAGGATGTCAGCTACAGGGATCAATTCTAAGCAGGTCAACTCAGACACCCACTCAGGTGTATTCAATGGGGCTTACTCCCAAGAAAGTGTCCTTAGGATTGCACTGAAGATCTGCTACCTAGAATACCGGGCGGGGGGTTGTAAATGCAAGAGGGCTCTTTGGGCTAGGTTTGTTGTCAAGGGAGGCTTCTCACCCTGATCAACAGCAACAACCCCATGTCCCTTTAATGAGTGCTTATTGCATAGAAAAGGGCAGACGGAGCTTTTAATGGCATGGAGGTAAACAGCACCTCATTAAGCTTTTATTAACGGGACAGGCCTTTTTTTTTTTGCCAGGCCTGTGGACAATCCTGCTAGGATGTCAGCTACAGGGATCAATTCTAAGCAGGTCAACTCAGACACCCACTCAGGTGTATTCAATGGGGCTTACTCCCAAGAAAGTTTCCTTAGGATTGCACTGAAGATCTGCTACCTAGAATACCGGGCAACCATCTCATCCTTTGCCGTCCCCGTCTTCTTTGACCTTCAATCTTTCCCAGCATCAGGGTCTTCTCCAGTGAGTGCTCCCTTCTCATTTGGTGGCCAAAGTATTTGAGCTT